TGAGTTGCCAGTCGCAAATACGGTCGTTAAATAAGAACTACCTCCATTGCTTGTTTGTTTGTTTAAGTTGCAACCCACCCTTAACAACCTTTGTGGGACTCTAAAGCCAAGCCAAGCCAAAGTAAAACTATATGCATAGTCACGGTTTCATTTAGTGACCGCTTCACTTAATAACCGATTTGCCGGTCCCTGTTTTGGTCATGAAACAAGAACTGCCTTTTTTTAAAAAATTCCCAATTTAGTCTCCAAACCATGGGTTTTCCTTGTGGCCTCCCAGCCGGGCTTAGCAAAATCCTTGCTTGCTTGCTTCTCCCGTTTAGCAGCAAACCAGACATCAAATTATTTTTAATAGAAAAATTGCCAAGCCAATAGCAATTATTGCCTCTTAGTGCCAAACCAAATTGCCAAATTTCCATCTCTTAATGTATGGTGTGGGCGGCCTTTCAAAGCAACATTCTGGATTCAACTCAGATTAATGGAAGGATTTTGGCTGATAATTCAAAACAATGCAGAGCCTTCAGAACAAAATATATTCCTATTTTTTTTTAATAAACCCTTATTTTATTTTATTTTATTTTATTCGTTTTATTTTGTTTATTTTAATTCTTTATTTTACTTTATTTTATTTTATTTATTATTTATTATTTATTTTATTATTTTCTTTTACTTTATTTTATTTATTATTTATTTTATTTTATTTTATTATTTTATTTTATTTTTTATATTATTTTATTTTATTTTTATATTATTTTATTTATGATTTATTTTATTATTTTATTTATTATTTTATTTTATTTTATTATTATTATTTTGCATCTGAGGGACTCTATCCTCATCTAAGGACATGAATGGGGCTGACTGCATTGACGACCCCTCCCCCCTTCTTCCTTCTCCTTAATCCTGACAATTCCTAAAATTGATTTTAATTACTTATTTATGGAGGCTCGATTTCTCTCCCAGGAGATGGTATGCAAAGACTCTGCTGATTTAGCTTGGCTTTGTTTGAAGATTGATCTCCCTTGTCTGAGATGTGGGGAACTTTTAAGAACTGGTATTTTCCATTTATTGATTTACTTAACGTACGGCATAGCACACATATTAAGATTTAGCCCGTTAAAAACATGGATGGATGGATGGATGGATGGATGGATGGATGGATGGATGGATGGATGGAGAGAGAGAGAGACAGAGACAGATAGAGACAGATAAAGAGAAAGAGATAGATAGATAGATAGATAGATAGATAGATAGATAGATAGATAGAAAGAGAGAGAGAGAGAGAGCAGAGAGAGAGTTAGAGAGAGAAATAGGGAGAGAGAGAGAAAGTTAGAGTTAGAGAAAGAGAGGGAAAGAGAGACATAGAGAGAGCGTTAGAGAGAAAGTTAGAGAGAGTTAGAGAAAGAGATAGAGATAGATAGATAGATAGATAGATAGATGATAGATAGATAGATAGATAGATAGATAGATAGATAGATAGATAGATAGATAGATAGATAGGGAGAGAGAGACAGAGAAAGAGAAAGAGAGAGCGTTAGAGAGAGAAAGTTAGAGTTAGAGAAAGAGATAGAGAGATAGAGAGATAAAGATAAAGAGAGAGAGAGAGAGATAGATAGATAGATGGATGGAGAGAGAGAGAGAGAGAGAGAGAGAGAGAGAGAGAGAGAGAGAGAGAGAGAGAGAGAGAGAGAGAGATCCATTTATGGAAGCAAATTCCATCTGAGTTTTCCCCTATTCTCATCGCCCCCCAAAATGCCTTTTTTTCCTCTGCGCTTGTTTCTTCCTGGGTGATCATCGGAACATATGCTGCTGTTTCTCCTGTCTCTTTTCTGGTCTCTCCCTGTCTGCAAGGGTGTGCTCATTATGGGATGGATTTGCAGTTGCCTCGGCAACAGAGGAAGGAGAGGAGAGACCTCTTCTCAAGGAGAAAGGCTTTAAAGAAAAGAAAAGAACAATCTGCCTTCCAAAATTCCAGGGAAGGGGGGGGTGAGAATTTGGGCACGGGGGCTGAATTGCAGCATCCAAAATGTCCCCACCTCCAAATTCTGCAAGGGTGGGGGTCCCATCCGGAGGGCTGGCATGGTCAGGATGATGGGAGGGGTAGTCCCAGCTGGGGAGGGGGGGAATGGGGAACACCTTTCCTGCTTTTTAAGAAAAATGACTTTATTTTATCCGCTGCCTGTGATTTTCTCTTATGCTAAAAAGCAAGCGATTATTCAGGCTTCACCGAGCAGTTGGAAAGCTTTAGTGGCCGCCCTCAGTTTCTTAATTGTGAATACTTTTTAAGCTAGTGTTGGGTTTTACCGTTAGGGTATTGTGCCCGTCCAGGAAATGGGCTTATTCAGGAAACAAGGGAAGGGAGTTATGGCAGACTTTGGTTGGTACAACATGTTAAACCAGTGTGGGGAAGGAGAAGCTGAGATATACAGTCTGAGAAACTGCTTAGAAGATTTTTGTGTTTTTCAGTGAAGTTTATTTGCTGTTGTTTTTAGGGCTGAGAAGAAGGGAAAGAGAGAGGAGGAGAAAGAAAGAGAGAAAGAGAGAGAGGGAAAGAAAGGGAAGGGGAGAGAGTAAAGGAGGAAAGAAAGGAAGAAAGAAAGAAGAAAGAAAGAGAAAAGAAAGAGAAAAGGAAGGAAGGAAGGAAGGAAGGAAGGAAGGAAGGAAGGAAGGAAGGAAGGAAGGAAGGAAGGAAGGAAGGAAGGAAGGAAGAGATTTCTTTCCCCACAAAATATAATTAATTTTGGGAACTTTCTGCCACAAGGTTTGCTAAGAGCAGAAAATGTAAAAAAAAATGGGGCTGTCCTTTGCTGAAAGACAAAATCAATTGAAAGGAGAACAAGCAAGTGCCAAATGTGCATTTTGGAGAGAGAGAGAGAGAGAGAGAGAGAAAGAGAAAGAGAAAGAAAGAGGGAGGGAGGGAGGGAGAGAAAAAGAGGCCGGATAGCAACTAGCTTGGCTAGTTTATATTGTTGTGTTACAGATGTTTTTAATTTCGGCACATGCCCGAGGGTCACAAGATTTGACCCCTTTAAAAACCCAATAAATAAGTAAATTCAAAAGTTACGGAGGCTTAGCTTGGGGAAACGAGCTCCCGTGTCTCACTTTTCAACAGTTGCGGTCAGACGTTGAGGACTAGCTGCATATAAAAAATAATAATAAATAATTCCGGGGTGACCTGGGCTTGAGGTCAGGATGGATTCGGAAAAGCGAAGGGAAGAAAAATGTGCAAAAACACACCAGGAAGGAACACGTTCTCCCCCACCCTCTCTCTCTCTCTCTCTCTCTCTCTCTCTCTCTCTCTCTCTCTCTCTCTCTCTCTCTCTTTTNGGGGGGAATATATATATTTATGCCAATCAATTAACCAGGAATGTTATCTAGGCACGTGGAGGAGGCCACAGAGGCTGTAAATCGTGCCTTTACTTCTGGGATAGGTGGTCAAAAACTCCTTTTTTAAGGGCCTTTCTTTGTGGATTATTTCATTTATTGGTATCCCGCCTTTATTGTTTTTACCAATAACTCGAGGCAGTGAACATATCCAATGCACTTTCCTCCTGTTTTCCCCACAAAAACAACCCTGTGAGGGAGGTGGGAGGATTGGCCCAGAATCACCCAGCTGGCTTTCGTGACTTATAGCAGAACTAGAATTCACCAACGCCTGGTGATCGGCCCAAAGTCACCCAGCTGGTTTTCGTATCTTAAGGCGAGACTAGAACTCACCATCACCTGGTGATTGGCCTAAAGTCACCCAACTGGCTGTCATGCCTAAGGCGGGACTAGAACTCACCGTCTCCTGGGGATTGGCCCAAAGTCTCCCCCTGGCTTTCCTGGCTAAGGCAGGACTTGAACTCATGGTAGTATTACCACCTCGCCTTTCCCCCCCCCAAAACAATAACCCTGTGAGGTAGGCTAGGTGGAGAGGGAGGAGCCATCTGTCGCTGAGAACTTGAACCCAGCACCTCGTCTGGTACCTTCCCCACTATCTTTTGCCAGAAAAGGATAAAGGTAAAGAGGCAGGGATGCTCTCTCACCGTATTGGATAGCGGTTGCTAGGCAACGTGGAAGCAGTGATGCTCTCTTGTCTATGTTCCATTATGGGTGGTTGTCCGCTTCTGGTTGCTAGGTTACCGTGTCCGCTTGTGAGTTAACGCAATGTCCAGAAACCCTGGTTTCCTTTGCTAAATTGTTCATCCACTATCCAAGGATTAAAAATACATTTTTAAAATCTGGGTGTGTTTTAATGATGAGGGGTGCACAACTGTGTGTTTTTTTTAAAAAAAAAAACTGCAATTGGACTTTGGAGTTTGGTAAGTAAAATATTGCCAAAAGCGAGTGACTTTCTGGGTGGTGGGGGGGAAGGAACTTCCTGCAGCAACCAAGAATGCTGGGAGTTGAAGTCCAGGTGGCACCTCGGCATCGGATCTACGCAACCGCATCGTAGGAAGGGTTAAAAAGAAAAAGTCACTTTGAATCCTGAGAAGATCAGGATTCACTGCTGTCATTCCGTTAATAACCTAGTTGTGAAGTGAATCTGGATTCCCCATTAACTTTGCTTGTCGGAAGGTAGCAAAATGGGAGCACGTGAACCCGGGATGCTGCGACCATCATAAATACGAGTCAGTTGTCATGCCTCTGAATATAAATGACCGTGAGGATGATGCAATGGTCATCATTGTGAAAAAATCACTTTTTCCAGTTATAATAATAATAATAATAATAATAATAATAATAATAATAATAATAATAATAATAATAATAATAATAATAAAGTTGGAAGGGACGTTGGAGGTCATCTAGTCCAACCCCCTGCTCAGGCAGGAAACCCTATCCCATTTCAGACAAATGGCTGTCCAGTCTCTTCTTAAAAACTTCCAGTGTTGGCGCATTCACCGCTTCTGGAGGCAGGTTGTTCCGCTGGTTAATTGTTCTAACTGTCAGGAATGTCCTACTATTTTTTCCTCCTAAATCACCCTGTCTTTTTTTACCCATACCCCTATCTGTACCTTATGCTCAAACCAATAACCCCACAGGACTCCAGCTACCCATTCAAAGGTACTGGGAACTGGGGGGGGGGAAATATCTAAAATATTCAACTTAGGCTGAGACTCTAGAAAGAGTACAGAGAAAAGCAACAAAGATGATTAGGGGACTGGAGGCTGAAACACACAAGGAACGGTTGCTGGAATTGGGTAGGTCTAGTTTAACGAAGAGAAGGACGAGGGGGGACATGATAGCGGTGTTCAGTATCTCAGGGGCTGCCATAAAGAAGAGGGAGTCAGGCTATTCTCCAAGGCGCCTGAAGGCAGGACAAGAAGCAACGGATGGAAACCAACCAAGGAGAGAAGCAACCTAGAACTAAGGAGAAACTTTCTGACAGTTAGAACAATTAACCAGTGGAACAACCTGCCTCCAGAAGCAGTAAATGCTCCAACACTGGAAGTTTTTAAGAAGAGACTGGACAGCCATTTGTCTGAAATGGTATAGGGTTTCCTGCCTGAGCAGGGGGTTGGGCTAGATGACCTCCAAGGTCCCTCCCAACCCTGTTATTTTGTTATTCTGCTCTTCCTTCCTTCCTTCCTTCCTTCCTCATCACTGGAGGTTTTTAAGAAGAGATTGGACAGCCCTTTGTCTGAAATGGTGTAGGGTTTCCTGCCTGAGCAGGGGGTTGGACTCGATGACCTCCAAGGTCACTTCCAACTTTTATTATTATTATTATTATTATTATTATTATTATTATTATTATTATTATTATTATTATTATTATTATTATTATTATTATTATTATTTTGGAGGCCGGAGGTGGGCGTTGTTTGGTCTAACGAGGGTCTCGTTTGCAACCAGGCTGAAAAACTCCACTGATTTCTTTCTCCCTGCAGACAAAGCTGAAACCGCCAAGAAAACGGAGCCCGAAGAGGAAGAAATTGATATTGATTTAAATGCCCCGGAAACGGAGAAAGCCGCTCTCGCCATCCAAGGGAAATTTCGGCGTTTCCAAAAACGGAAACAGGACCCCAGTTCCTGAGCTTTTCTGGAGTCTTCCCGCCTCGCCTTGATGCGCTTTTCCTTCTCCCGTCCCCCAAACCCGCCGCAATTCCATTTCCTCTCTTGTCTTCCCACCCCGAGGAAGGGGGGTCCTCTGATCTTCATTTAATTTAATTTTTGCACGTCCTGGAAAAATGGTCAAAGCAGAGGAAGGGAGGGGATGGAGTGGGGTGGGTGGAAGGGGCCTCTGAGCGCACACACGCCTTCCACTCTGCTTCGCCGGAAGCCACCGATAACGGGCAGAATGAGAGATGTCGCTACATCCTCGACTTACGACCAGTTGTTTAACCAGCGGTCGAGGTTACAACGATCTTTAAAAAAAATCTACTTCTGACTCATCCTCGAAGTTATGACTGCCGTGCCTCTGTCGGCACAGATTAGCAGTTGAGGAACTCGGCAACCAGCTTACATTTGTGACGGTTGCATTGTCCCACGGTCGCTGTTTGTGACCTTTTTTGCTGCTTCCTGGCAAAAAACAGCCATTCGGAAGAACGACCACGTGATTCGTTGGATGACTACCGTGTGACTCGCTTTATAACTGTTGTGAAAACAGTCGTGAAATTGAGACCCATTATGGGGTGCCTCAACTTACGACCACAATGACTGAAATTTGAGGTTCAGCTGTGCTCGTAAGTCGAGGGCAACATATAGGTAGGAAACCTAGGCTAGGAAGATTAGAATAGCCGTTGGGTCGATTTGAACCAAATTCTTCATCCTTTTTTCCTCCCATCCACCATCAAGGGGGGGGGTTGTTACTCCATAAATGGAGGGTCGAGATTTTAGTCTCCCTTTGTAGGAGATTGGGAATGCAATTCCCCCACTTTGATGCCAATTTCTAAAAACATTTATAGTGAAAATGCCATATTGACGGGAAATTATTTTTTCCCCCCTGCGAGGTTGGTTCTCCTAAAATCCTTAAAACCTTGCTGTGAAGTTTGAATCCTTTGGGTACCAAATCTCGACCACTCAGGACCTCTTACAAAATTGCAAAAACAGAAAATTTGCGAGCCACTTTCAAGTTCCGTTTGAAAGGTAGGATTTTAAAACGGGTTCCTTTTGTGTCCCAATGTGGTCGCCAAATTTTTCCTTCGCTGTCTGACAGAGGATCTAGGACAGGGGTAGGCAACCTTGGCTCTTTTATGACTCGTGGACTTCAACTCCCAGAATTCCTGAGCCAGCCATGCTGAGGGGAAAGGGAGAGGTTTCCAAGCTGAGCCATGCTGGCTCAGGAATTCTGGGAGATGAAGTCCATGAGTCATAAAAGAGCCAAGGTTGCCTACCCTTGGTCTAGGACAACTTGCCGCTGCCAACTTGTTGACAACTCGATGTGGGACAACTCAACACCGTATTAATCATTTCATTCAGTTCCTTTTATCACTGGTGACCATGTTTTCATTTGAAATTAACACAATTCTTGTATTTCTAGATTGACTTCCCTTATTTTATTATTGTTGGCCACGGTCCCATCGAAATTAATTAAATTTTTGCATTTGTTGAATTGTTTTATGGCGAGTTCGTCCTGCATCAAGTTGGCCATGATGAGTTGTTCCATTCCACTGACCGACATTATGAAAAACCCGGCAAATTCATTCAAAGAGCCATAAGCCCGATGCAGGGAAAATATTAGTTTAATATTCTAAAATAAGCCTATTTTCAAAACAGGAAATCGAGTCCTGAGACTTGATGCCAACCTGGACAACGTGTTGAAAAGGGTGAAAAGTCTCTTTTCACTTCCCACTTTTCTCGAGAGTGCCCAAAGGAATATTTTGCACTAGAGGCACCTATCTTTTGCACCGATAAGAGTGAAACCGTGAGCAAAATTGGGAGCTCCCTCCCACGATATTTTTGAGTGTCCAAAATGCTTTTTACGAAGTCAGCTTCAACTTCCTTAAGCCATTCTCCACTAAAAGAGCATCCGAGTGTTGTGACCAAACTCAGTGTCCGTCCTACGGGGCCATCAGATCTCAGCACCCCGAATTCGCTGTCCGTTCACCCACAAAAAGGGCTGCTAGCTACAAAGCCATGCTTCCCTCCTCAGGGCCCAGCTTATTACGAGCCAAGATATAACAAGAACAAGCCTAGATCTATCCACCAAGGGCACGCACACATTTCTCCCCTCCCCCTACTTAGCTGCCTCACAGCCATTCCACTTCTGGGCCGGTGGTGTTTGTGAAATTCGTGACGGGCAATGAAACATTGTCAAGAATGAATAAAAGCTATGTCATCCTGGGCGCTGACTGACCTGCTTTGAAGACTGACACGTTTAGCATGTTAATAAAATAATCAGGGGGAAAACCTGGTTTTGGTCTTTTGTCTTCTTTTTTCTTCTTTCTGTCTGAACTTTTGACACAGCTCCTATTTGCAGATTTTAGTGTTCTGGTTTGATAAGAGATAGATAGATAGATAGATAGATAGATAGATAGATAGATAGATAGATAGATAGATAGATGATAGATAGATAGATAATAGGTAGGTAGGTAGATGTAGATATATAGATGAGATAAGATAGATGGATAGATATAGATAGGTATAGAGATATAGATAGGTAGGTACGTAGATGTAGATATAGATTAGATATATAGATAGATATAGATGATAGATTAGATGGATATAGATAGGTATAGAGATATATATAGCGGTATATATAGATATAGATACAAATAGAGAGTAATATATAGATTAGATGAGACAGATATCTCTCTCTCTCTCTATCTCACTCACTCACTATCTCAGCTCCTGCCAACCTCGCAGTTCAAAAGCAGGCAAACGCAAGTAGATAAATAGGTACCACACCGGTGCGAAGTTATCAGTGCTCCGTGGTGTCGCGCTGGCCACAACTGTGGAAAATGTCTACGGACAACACTGGCTCAATGGCCTTGAAACGGAGAGGAGCAGCGCCTCGTATAATCAGCCACATCCGCAGGGATTCCCCTACCTTTTTTACTCCAAGTTTACTATCAGGATCACAGACCACAAGGAAGCCAGCTTGGTATAGAAATGTCAGTCTTTTTAATTAATTCTTTGTCATTTTAATGATGTCTGTTTGGTTTTGGCAACGGCTGTTTTTTTGGAAAGACATCCATGGGGTTGGGAAAACCCCGAGGAAATTGTACACACATCGTTGGGTTTAAAAACAAAAAACGAAAACAACAGTTTAGTTTTCTAGGACTACTTGTGACAACATGTGCTACACAGAACGGTCTTGTTACGGGTCTGTGGGAATTGTCTGCTTATGTACATGGCTTTAGCACCGTCGTTCAATTTTGTGTGATTTGTAGAGACAAGAAACAGGTCGAAGGACACTGGCGAGAAAGGGACGTAAAATTGTCTGAAAAAAGGATTCCTGCTGGAGAAGTGGGTTGGACTAGAAGATCTCTAAGGTCCCTTCCAACTCTGTGATTCTGTTAAAACACACGAACTGAAGCTGTCGTGTGTTTGCTAACAAAATGATCCGGGACGTCCTGTCTTTTTGGCTGTTTTGTTGCTGCTGGAACATGTTGTCCTAATAGTTAATCTGAACAGAATTAAAAAAATAAAACCAACAACACCAAAACAGAAGCAGAATAAACGGGGTGGGGGGGAGGAAAATGCAACCCTTGATCTTTGCCTACCCACGTAACGTCATGCAGAATTCAGTCACCGGGCAGAGCACAGCAAGGAAGATAGAGAGAAAAAAATCAATATAATATCTCCGCAGGTTAATCATAAACTTCCTCCCAACCTCCCTTTTGCAGATCGTACGGCAAGGTTTTGCGGCTGTCAAGACGATGGTTTAATTTCCCTCTCGGGGGACGCTCCGAAAATGTCAAACAAGTCAGAAGAGAAATATAAATTCGTCTGCTTCGACAGACTTTGGGGGAAACTGGCAGAAAATAATCTGCATTTTCTTTCTCTCTCTCTCTCTCTATTGTAGGGGGGGAAAAATTGGTTTAGCTGGTTTGCACCAACTATTTGAAACGGGGCGACAATTTCCCAGCAGGCCAAATTGGGCTGCCTCTTTTAAAATGAGCAAAACCCCCCTCCTTGAGAAATTTTAGGGATCGTCTTAGTGGGTTATTTTTAATGATTAATAATTTTTTTTACCTGCCCTGAAATGTCTCAGATGCTTTGCTCAAGCGGGAGGCTCCGAATTTGGCCTAAAATGAAATCTCTCTTTAGGATCGCTACTCTTAGGATCTGAGAGAGAGAGAGCGCGTGCGCGCGATAGAAGTCCTTGGGGCATTTTTTAAAAAAAAAAATAAAAATAGCTTTTTCTTCTTTAGTTTTAATTGAGAATTTTCGCAAACGAGATGTTTTTGTCCCTCCTGGACAGAATCCCTGCCAGAGGGAAATTAAACCCTCTTTGTGAGTTTGTGAGATGCTAAAATCTGATCCTTGGATTAAAAAGGAAAAAAAAAACGCAGGAAAAAAAATTACATCTGTGCTCGAATCACGGAGCGGAAGAGATCCACAGTGGTTAGAGCAGAAGAAGGCACCGTTTGGGGACGACAATTTAGCATCTTTCGGGCCAATTTTTAAGAATTTTTAAGAATGCTTTATCCTCATGGCGATGAACGGGGGTCCAGGGGCTGATGGAAATCTCCCTTTAGTGAAAATTATAAGCAAATCTCCTGCAGGTTTTTGTGACTTATTTACGCACGTGTGTACCCGAGTTGGTGAGTTTGGGGGACATCGGAAGGGTACAAAAACGCTAAGACAAAATGTTGGATTGTAGCAGATTGAAGTCAAGATTATCGCAGCAGTACAGATGACCACATAACTCGCCTATGCTTCTGTTTCTCAGCTTTAAGATGGGTGGACTACAACGCCCAGAATTTGCCAGCCAGAAATCTGGGAATTGTAGTCCATTAAACGATAAGATTGAGAAACGTGCATTAAAGCACCATTGGTGGGCTGCAAACTTCCAAGGGGCCAGCAGGTGGCCGCAGAGACCCGCAAACCGCTCCTTGCTGCCCCCGTCTGGCAGTCAGAGGTACTGCACCCCCGATTTGGTGGTCCTAGCAAAGCCAAGAGGACTGGGTGGAGGAGAAAGGGACCTCCTGGCTCCCCCCTCCCCTGCCCGGAGAAGAGGAAGGCCAGGAAAGGCCCCGTGTTCGAATTATAAGGCCGAATCACTTTTAATGATATTCATGAGCGCGTTTTTGAGGCTGTTCTTGCTGGGGGACTTGACGGCAGGCTTGAGGCCTTCGGCCTCGAGGTGGTCCTTCTTCGGTTCCATCTCGATGGTCATGACCACCTGCCTCTTGGCCGCCTTCTTCTCGATACCTTCTCTGCCGGCTAACCGCTATTTCTTATCTTTGCGCGAGTCTCCAAAGCCTCCCCTGGATTTCTTGTCGCTCTTGGTTAGGCGGCTGTGGTCCAGCATGGCGTACAGGACGGGGGTCTGTCAAGAGGGGAGAGAAAAGAAGAGAAGTTGCCCAGGGAATAGAATAGAATAGAATAAGAAATAAGAATAGAATAGAATAGAATAGAATAGAATAGAATAGAATAAGGAATGAATAGAATAGAATAAGAAATATAGAATAGAATAAGAAATATAGAATAGAATAGAATAGAATAGAATAGAATAGAATAGAATAGAATAGAACAGAGAATGGATAAGAATAGAATAAGAAATAATAGAATAGAATAGAATAGATAAGAGAATGAAGAATAGAATAGAATAGAATAGAATAGAATAGAATAGAATAGAATAGAATAGAGAATGGATGAGAATAGAATAGAATAGAATAAGAAATATAGAATAGAATAGAATAGAGAATGGATAGAAAATAGAATAGAATAGAATAGAGAATGGATGAAAATAGAATAGAATGGAATAGATAAGAGAATGAAGAATAGAATAGAATAGAATAGAGAATGGATGAGAATAGAATAGAATAGAATAAGAAATATAGAATAGAATAGAATAGAATAGAGAATGGATGAAAATAGAATAGAATAGAATAGAATAGTAGGAAGGGACCTTGGAGGTCTTCTAGTCCAACCCCCCGCCCAGGCAGGAAACCCTATACCGTTTCAGACAAACTAGGCAGGCTCAATTACGGCCGTACGTTGAGGACTACCTGTAAGTCTAACAGATTCTTACTTGGGGCGGGACGTTTTCCTCTCACGCCCTCAAAGGCTCACCTGATGACGCCGTTTAGAAGAATCCTTCCCCAGCCTCAGTTTCCCTTTCTCCATCGCGCTAATTGGAGACAAGAACAGAGATGCGCGTTGAGGTGCAATGATGAAAACTGGGGAGCCGTTTTCCGAGCAAGGAAGCCCCTTGCCTAAACCCCTCAATTATTCTCAAATCCTGCACCCATATGCCTGGCAATTAACGGATTTAAACACACACACACACACACGTGGGGAAATTGCCGCTTTCCTTTCTTTGCTCCCTCTCTCATTGCGGTACATGTGTGTGTGTGTGTGGGGTGCGTGCTTTGTGTTTAAAAGCGAGTGGGAGGGAGAAGACTTTGTGGTGGGATTAGCGTAGCCCTCCCCCCACCCCTCCCCAGTTGCTTCCTTAGGAAGAAACACTGCCGCAACTCCAGGCAAGGCTAAGAGAGCCGAAAGCGAATCAGAGGCCCACCGGTGAGGCAGGACTACAATTCCCATCATCCCCCAGCCTGGCCTGAGGCTGGAAAGCTGGCAAAGGGATCTCGAACGAAGGATTTCCTGCAACTTTAGCGAGAGAAGGATAGCGGTAGAGGAACTGCGGGGGGGGGGATTTCTGTTTTTACCTGAGCCGTCTCTGGAGGGTGGCTTGTCTCCTCAGCCAGCAGTACCTGATGAGGTAGGCTATCAGCAGGACCACTAAGACCACAGCCAAGACACCTCCGATGACGCCGCCCAGGACTTCGCCGTATCTGGTAGGAACTGGAGAAGAAAGGGAGGAGGAGAAAGAGAGAGAGACGGAGGGGTGGAGAAGATGGACAAAGGTGAGGAAAAGATGGAGGAGGAGGAGGAGGAGATGAAGGAGGAAAAGGAGAAGATGGAGATGGACAAAGAAAAGGAGAAGCAGAAAGAGAAGATGGAGAAGGACGAGATGGAGGAAGAGGTGGTGATGGAGGAGAAGATGGAAAAGAAGGAGGAGGAGGAGGAGGAGGAGGAGGAGAAGGAGGAGGAGGAAGAAGAAGAGGTGATGGAGGAGGTGATGGAGAAGAAGATGGAAAAGGAGGAGATGATGGAGGAGAAGATGGAAAAGGAGGAAGAGGAGGAGGGAATGTTATTAAAATATACATTTCCAACTCGGTTTGTTCAGCAGTCCTGCCTCCACTCAATCATTTTATTCCAGCCACCCATTCACACATCACCCCAAAAGGTTGACCTTTCCCCGTAGAAACCCTGCATCCTGGTCCATTGAGTCCTTTCCCTTCCCTTTCCTTCCCTTTCCTTTCCTTCCCTCCCTTCGTTCCCTTAGACCAGAAACGTCAGTTCGCCCCAAAAGTTGTGGCGTCACACTTATTAAAAACGGGAAGATCCTAGTAACCCCACAAACAATTTCTCGCCGGTCAACGAGCATTACCGTTCTCAAAGACGTAGAGGGTGACTTGTGATGTTCTCCCCACAATGTCCGGCGGGTTTTTGACATCGCAAGTGTAGGTCCCGTTGTCGGTATATTCCAGGTCATGGATGATAATGGAACCGTCTTTCCAGCGAGGGTCCCCGATCCACTCGATGCGCTCCTTGAAGGACCCAACGTTGTCAATGTAGTGCTGGCCTTTGGCGTAGTGAAATATCTGGGGTTGAATAAGAGCAGAAGAATTGGTGGGACGAAAATTACCACCTGCACGAGAAGAATCAGATCAGGGCTGCAATATAAATGGAACCACAAGAGGGCGGCAGAGGCTAACACTCTGTTTTTGCTCTGGCCCTCTGGTGGTCATCTGAAGTGTCACAGCCAAAATATTATATGTAGTTCTACAATATTGAAGTTTCTCCTCTTTTAGCAAGTTCTATTGTATCGATAGATACAAAAATATAATTTTTGTTTACCGAAATGCTGTCCTTTCCACGTTCCGGCTGAAAGTGCCAAGTGATGGAAATGTCGTCGGAGATCCACTCGTTGGACCAGAAAGAGCAAGAGAGCTTAATTTTAGATCCCACCGTACCGTGGATCTCGTTTGCCGTGTAAACTTTGATGGCCAAGGTTGGAGAGAGCACTGCAGGAAAATAAAAAAAAAGCAGACAGAGGTGAAATTAATCGGTAAATTAATGAATGGGTAAATCCCTGATCACTTTCCTAAGGCTCCTGTCCAGATCCCAAAAAGGCAACACCACTTAGCAACAAACAGGTTAAATGAAATTTCAAAGCCCAAAAGTCAATCCGTTGACAGTTGCCACATCCGGAAACCATGATTGATTGATTGATTCAATTTCTATAGTTACCTATGTCAATCAATGACTTTGGGCCAGTCCCTTTGAGCCAGGATGAGGTCTGCTCACCACCTTGATTTATTGATAAAACTAATGAAGGTGGGATAAAAACCCGACAAATAAAAATCAAATCAATAAAACGAAGGAAGGAGAAAGAAGAGAGAGAGACACCGCCTCATTGTTGTGATACAAAAACCCACAAGGCGCTTTGGGGTGGGGTTTTTTTTTTTGTGGATTTCTTTCCCCCCCTTTTCTGCCTTCCCACCCCTCCGTTTGGGAAGTGGGTAGTTCCTTCCATAAAAAAACCCCTTGTGATCCTCGGTCGCTCCTTGAAGCACACGGCAGGACATTGCTGAGTGATCTCAAAATTGCGACATTTGCAATCAAAGGACCCTTTTGTGTAGCCGAACAATCCTCCTCTTCTCTACCGCCTTTGGGGTGCAAATTCCAAACTGCTGAGGCCGTCGGATTGAGTGGGAATTTTCCCTCCTGGTTTTTGGCTGGAAAAAAAAACTTAACCCTCCCTATTTTTTCCCCCCTTTTTCGGCACAATTTTGTGCCCATCTACACAAAAATGACAACCTGGAACTGTTACAAACCCCAGGTTGCCGTTGTTTAAAATGAGTCTTGAAAAGTCTGGTTTTGGGGAACCGGACTGATGGCAGATATAGAGCCCAGACCGTCCTCGTTTTACAACTGTTCGTTTAGCGACCGTTCGGGGTTATAAAGGCCCTGAAAAAAGTCACGTATGTAAAGTCCTCACTCTTACATCTACGGCATCCCTACGTGTATGTATTCTTGTGAACATACAATTCTGCTGGGAGACGTAATTTCATTAACTCTTGTGTTTGCAGACCTTCTCCTTTGATATGTGGATAACTTGTTTGAGGAAGTTTGCTAACTGGATTAACTTGGAGACCCTGATTCTCAGACCATTGTGGATTCCTGTTTTAAGGGAAGATGCAAACGGTCCAAAGAACAAAATATATTTGGATGTACCACTTCTCACAGCCCAATCAAAAAACCAACATTTGGCTTAAAGCGATGGGCAGGATTTCTGCTCTCTGGATAGCACAAACGACATTCCCTCATCTTTTTAGCTAGCTAGGCTTGCCCCTTTAAAGGACAAAATAAATTGAAATAAGCCCTCTGTTAACGGTTGTAAAGTTTTTTAAAGGTTTTGTGGGGGGTCCAGAGCTACATCGATTAAATTTGAAATTCCTCCTTTAACAAAGAATAAAGATATTTCTTTATCTGCTTTAGAAAATAATAATAAATTGCTTTGAGGAACGGATTAGGAGGGGGAAAGTAGATCGTTTCAGATATTCCTCTCTATGTAAGGCTTTCCAAGCTGGTTTAACCATGGTTTACTGAAGGCCTGAGATGATGTCTCATCCCAGGCCTTAATTTGCCACAAATCCTTTGAGGTTTTTAACTGAGCTTTTCCTTAGGTCTGCTTTAGCAATTGGGATTAAACCTATGCAAAGAAGCTGCCTCTAACTTGCAGCCTGATGTTTAAGCCTCTCTTAAAGATTCTAGTCCTCATGATTCTAAACGGAACAGAGCTGAAGAAATGGGTTTCTCCTGAAATATTCACCACGCCCCGGTTTGCAGTTTCAAACGGAGGGAGGTTTTAATTTATCGGTGGAGACACTTGAGAGTCTTTCCGGGCAAATAAGCTTTGCTTTCCTAAACGGCTCATCCTCCTCATGGTTTATGTAGTCCCAACTGGAAAGCTGGGGAGGGTTGAAGATTCCTTCTGCAGACAAGGCAGGAAGGCGACGTGACTCGGGGTGGGGTTGATCAAGCCAAAGCTTTTCGCTCACCGAGTTTGCACAGAAGCTGAGGGATAATAGAAGATTAAGCAGACAGAAGAGCAAGTGGAACAATAGGGGATTTTGAAAAAGAGAGAGGAGGAAAAAAATATTAACGCTCAGGGATGGCAAGAGATAGCGGTGGGTGCCTGTGGCAACCGTAAAAGAAAATAAATTGAAAATTTAATCGCGGCGTTTGATTAGCACCTTCTAACCTGTGTACAGAAAGAGTTTCCTATCAAATCAAATTGTGACTGAGATGCCTTTAACTTATAGCAATGGCAAAATAAAATTTCCTTCCATCTCGTTCTCCCTCTTTCTCTCCTTCCTTCCTTCCTCTTTCTTCCTTTCCTCCCTTCCTTTCTCCTTCCTTACTTCCTTCCCTTTCTTTCTCCTTCCTTACTTCCTTCCCTTTCTTTTTCTCCTTCCTTTCCTTCCTTCCATCCTTCCTTTTCTCTCTCACTCCTTTCCTTCCTTCACTTTCTCTTTGTTTTCTTCCTTCTTTCCTTCCATTTCTCTTTTGTTTTCTTCCTTCCTTCTTTCCTTCCATTTCTCTTTTCCTTTCTCCCTTCCTTCCTTTTCTCTTTCTCTCTCTTCTTCTTTCCTTCCTTCCTTCTCGTTTTCCTTTCCTTTCCTTTCCTCTTTTCTTTTCTTCTAAGCCAAGGACTGCCTCCCCGGATTTAAAAGTCACTGCATTCCAGGATTCACCCACTCCTCATTTCTAATCTCCACCGTCGCTGTAACTTTTGCTTTAATTTTTTTTAAAGCAGTTCGCCTTAAGCATTAAGTACCTTCATCATCTTGACTTATTTATAAAAGTAATAAACACGGGATATAAAAACCTCTAAAATAAAACATAAATCAAATGCTCCTTTTGGCTTCCCGGTCACTGGGGGTTTTGAAAGCGAATAGAACTCGGCATTTCTGCTTCTTTTCACCCATTTCGGCAAGGAACAGCTGGGTGAAGCATGTCAGCCCAGATTTGCACGGTTCATAAACCTCAATCCCCTTTGCCCATCTTAAATAAACCAGGAAATTACATTGTCTGCAGTGCTGTAGTCTGTCTCTCCAGGGCTCAGGGCATCTGACTAAAGAACACAGTAAAAATAACCCTCCTGGTTCAACCTTTGGTATCGGATGGAAATAAACTGGCAGTATTTTTTTTATTGCATTGCGTAGGTACTCGGACTGTGAAAAATACGTTCAGAGAAATTAAGAATATTTGCTTCTTAGATCTTCACCAAGCTCCTTTCCTATTTCCCAAACCCCATTTTCAATCGGGGGTGGGTGGGTGTCTTTTCCTTGGGAACATCTCCTGCTCCAAAATACATTTTCGAGAATTCATAAGGAGGAGGTTAAGATGGAGATGTAAGAAAAATGGGTAGAATTAAACTACCTAGAGATTTATCACATCGTTTAAAAATTCTTTTTATTTAACCTCCTGGCTGCAATTAAGAAAATTGTGGGGAAGATAGATGTGCCGGGCTGAGGTTTGGACTAATATAAATATCAGTCATAATTAAATGTCACATTTTAAAAAGCAAAGGTCTGGGTGAAGCTGACATCTGCCAATGGGGGTGCAAAGGGAAAATAGACTTTATTGGGTCCTGAGATCAAAATCATATCAGATTTTAAATTAGATTAACCAAACCCATTCAACTGACCCAGAAAAAGGGACAGTTGCTCCTGGATTCAGAATCATATCAGATTTAAATTAGATCAACCCATCCCACTGATCTGGTCAGTTCAACAGGATGAGATGATCTGATTTAAATCCGAACTCAGGACTGATTGAAATCTATTTCCATTGTATTAGGAAAAGCAAGGAAAAATTACATTTCCCTAAAAAAAACCACCGCAGGCTTCAGTCCTATATGGGTTCATACGCATTGCACTAAGCTAAGAATCGTGGCTACATTGTGGCTTAGTGCGATCTGTCAATTCAGATTTGGAAGGGTCAATTCTGAACCGAACAAAAATCTTTGGATCTTCTGCTCTCCTAATTCTTTGCGTCGTCCCTTCCTTTCTCAATTTCTTCTTTTTCTTTCTCTTCAATCTTACGATCATAATCTTACGATTATTGTCGCTTTTCGGAGCAAGAAAACTTTTTGGGGATTCCCAAATTTAAAAACAGCCTCTATTTCTGAGAATGAATGTCCTGCAAACCTTTGCAAAGCAGAAATTGCATAGAAAATAATTACTGTAAAAGCTAAAGACAAGACATGTTCTACCAGGATTAGCATCGTGGATGCTGGGGCAATTATAATCAGAGATAAATTTAATTTGTCAGGTCAAACCTGTGTCTAGTAAAACACAATTCTTACTTGGGTTTGTTCTCCCACGCCCGGTTCCCATATGAACTCCTCTGAAGATAATAGGAAGAGATTTCAGAGCACTATAAAATATATTGCTTTGTTCTGCTAATGCGCTTTGCTTTTCGGCTGAACGGGAACCAATTTAATCTGTCTGGCACCGTAATGGGTGCAATTTTTTTTCTTCCAGTTGGAAAAAATGAGAAACTTCGCTGCATCCCAAACAACAGAAAAACAGGGTTGTGCTTTCGAGACACTGAGATGGGCATACACGTTTAATAAATCAATCGTTTTCTAGATTAAAGACATACAAGTTTAATAAATCAATCGTTTTCTAGATTAAAGCCATCCGTGAACTTTCAAGGCAGGCGGTAGTTCCCCCAGTTTCACTCATCCTACAAACCATGTTTTGTCCACTTTGGGGGTAACCACAAGAGGAAAACTCAGCCCAAGGGTGTTTTTTTCCCCCAAACAAACCACAAGCCATCAAAGTCTCTGTGTTGTGTGAACCCCATTACTCAGGTTTTAAGGCGTGACAAGATCCAATTGTTTCTCAGAACGATAAGAGGTATCGTGATTGTTAATTATTCAATTAAGCAAGGTAGAGTCACTGCTTTCCCTTGCTTTAAATTGGAGGCACTTTTTGGATTTATGCATGTTATTAAAAGACAGAAGCGTTGGCGTAGCTTGCAATATAGTTGGAGATTTTGACTTTTGTTAACTTCGGATTGTTGGCTACGTGGCTCTCAATGGCCCCGTCATTTACAAATTCGTCACCATCATCATGTCTTTCCCCCCCACCAAATCTCCTTAAATTGATCCTTCCTCTTAATTTTCCCAAAATCCCAACATCAGAAAGCTTGGAACGCAAAACCCGGCCTAGATTTTATTGAGGATTTTATTCAGACGCACCATTTTTGGAGAAAATTGAACATATGATAGAAACGTTTTGAGGCTTTGAGAAATAAATCGCCAGTAATCTAATTTTTCCCTGGAATTTGCAGAATTTTTCTAGAATTGCCTTCGAATCAGCCATCCCTTGAACTAAACCACGATCCAAACCATCATTAACCAAGCCACGCCCAGAAATCTGAAGGTGAACAGGTATGCAGAACGGCCAGTGAAGCAATGGCTTCTGCTTCAGTCCTCTTAAGCATGACAAAAAGGACTTAGCAAACTTGCAGAGGGTGGAAGAACTACATAGCCCATGCTGCAGCACCGGAGAGAAAAATCCAAAGCTCAGATCCCAAAGCCACAATGCTATGGAAATCATATTAGGAAAGCAGGAGAGCTCAAGAGAAGATGCTCGGGGCTGGTTCTCAACAATCTATGCCCAGGGTAGAGCCTCCGGCTTCAGAGGCAGTCTACCCCTAAAGGACCCCACGATCAGGGAGGGTTGAAAAAAAAAACACCAAATAGATGACACCGGTCTAATAGAACACCTGGTCTACCCAAATATTGCTTTTGCCTTTCATCTTCAATCTAGGAGCATTTACAGGCTAAAGTTGCTACTGCGATAAACTATTTAAGTTTAGATTTTGCCGACAAAGAGTTAAAGGGAGGCTAGTATAGCTATTTTGAGCTATTTAGCTCTCATCAGCTAGCCACACCCTTCTGAGATTCGAAAATTAATTTTATGGGATAACATTCTTTAGTATTTAGCAAACAGCATGTTTGTTGTCTGGATTCATGGGTTTAAAAAACAATCAGTAACGATTAGTTTCTATATTTTCATAATCAATATGTTAGTTAATAATATAGTTCTTAAATCTTCTCTTCACCCGATAGTCTTCTTCTTCTTAATACATATTTAATGTTACATAGCACATATCACGTTCCTTTCTCTCTAGCTCGTTTTAATAGCCACTGATAAAAATGGTCCCGTGTTCTAAAATATACTGAATCTTCTTTCTCTTTTCCCTTCCATGTCAATCTATCCATTTCTGCACAGTCTAAAATTCTCTTAATTAGTTCTTCCTCCGTGGTCTTCACTTTTGAAGACAACCATTTGCCTGAAATGTCTAAGGTCTCCTGCTTTGAGCAGGGGGTTGGACTAGAAGACCTCCAGGGTCCCTTCCGACTCTGATCTTCTGCCTTTGGATACTTACGACGTTGGCCCCTCCAGTGATCTCTTTTGAGATTTTTCTAAGTTTTCGAAATCTTTCCCTTGAGCGTCGTGCAACTTACCCACGGTGCACACGAGGAGCGACCATAGGAAGGCTTGGCCCTTTCCGGCGTCGGCTGGACCCCCCATTTTTTTGGGTTAGTGTCCGAGTCCCAGCCACATGGAGGGGAAGAGCTGGTAGCAAGGCCGAGGACGCCTTCCCGTCGAATGCCGGAGAGGGGGGCACCCTTGGTTTAAGAACCCGCCTGCCCCGAAGGATGCTATCTCTGCAGAAATCTGGAACCAATGAGAAGGTGGCGTTTGGGGAGAAAAAAAACAGAGGGGGGGTGCAAAGATGAACCGGTTTGCCCCCCCCCCCAAAGAGAACAAAACATAAAAGCTTGCATTTATAGTGGCTATTGTTCAGCAGCCTGCGAGCATAGCTGGGCAAAGAGGCTGCATTCTTAGCAAACTGTGGGTGAGGGCACAGCCTCTGAACAATGTCATTTTTCTCGCCTCCCTTCGGAGGCAGAGCCTTCGGCCAGGGCCAGGAAGGGGGGGGGGTGTCCTGTAATTTCAGTTTTAAGCCTTTTTTTAGGACACGGAATCCATGGCTGGCAGGGTAAATTCCAACAGCAGAGAAGATTGGTAGCTTAGAGTTGAAGCACTGATGATGTTACCTAGTTGGGTCATGAAACGTCTGCAAGAAAAGCATCGAACTCAGACAGCATCAAGGAGCCCACAGTTGTCCTCCTTCTTCTCCTTCTCCTTCTCCTCTTCCTCCTCCTCCTCTCCCCCGCCCGAGTAAACTCTACAACTTTCTAGCACTCATTATGTTCCCTAGTTGGGTCATGAAACGTCTGAAAGAAAAACACCAAGCTCAGAGAGCACCAAGGACCCCACAGTCCTCCTCATCCCTTCTAGAACTTCTTTTGCAGAATTAAAAAGTTCCCTATTTTGGGAAACCCATTGCAGTTGGCAGCCTGGGGAAAACCTCAGCTGACCTGGGTTCAAAAAGGTGGAACGCTAGACAAACGCACACACAAGAGAGCTTTCAGATTTTGTTCATCGTGGGGTCGAAAATTGTCACAAAAGTGGATAACATAAAACCCTAAGGCAGAAGAAAAATCAAGAGGTCACAAACAGACCCTGGCACCTTCCTGCAAATCTTTTTAAAAATCTTCCTCTCGGGCCACTATTTCAGTACAATTGCAGTTTTTAGTAGGCGTCACACATTCCAGAAAACACACAGACATGTGTTGTGCTCTCTTTGGTCTTAGCCAAGTCCGAAGTGGGCAGTTGGAAGATGTTGGGTTTGCAAACTGCTGTTTATTTATTTATTTAGAGAATATTTGTAGCCTGTGGTGCTCTCTGAGCTTGGTGGTTTTCTTGCAGACGTTTGGTGACCCAACTAGGTAACATCATCAGTGCTACAAAAGAGGGGGGAATTGCAGAATGGAGAAGGAGAAGAATGGGAGGAGGAGGAGGAGGACTGTGGGGTCCTTGGTGCTCTCTGAGCTTGGTGGTTGTCTTGCAGACATTTCATGACCCAACTATGTAACATCATCGATGCTAGAAGGAAGGAGGAGGAGGACTGTGGGGTCCTTGGTGCTCTCTGAGCTTGGTGGTTTTCTTGCAGACGTTTGGTGACCCAGCTAGGTAACATCATCAGTGCTAGAAGGGAGGGGGGGGTGAGGAGGAGGAGGACTGTGGGGTCCTTGGTGCTCTCTGAGCTTGGTTTCTTGCAGATGTTTTGTGACCCAACTAGACAACATCATCAGTGCTAGAAGGAAATAGGGTTTGCTGTTTCTGCAAGGCAGCTGATTTTACATAAACAGAGAGCAATCCCGTCTCCTCCTAACCCTGATGATGTTGTCTAGTTGGGTCATGAACCGTCTGCAAGAAAGTTACGACCGCACTAAAAAAGGGACTTATGTCCATTTTTCAGACTAACCACCTTTGCAGCAACCCCAAGATCATGCGATCAACATTCAAACACTCGGCAACTGGTTCGTTACTTATGAGCATTGCTGTGTCCCAGGGTCATGTGATCAACTGGATCATATTTATGACGGTTGCAGAGTCCCCGGGCCACGTGATCCCCTTTGGCCACCTTCTGACGAGCCAAAATCAATGGGGCAGCCAGCTTCACAACTGAACAACCAGGGTAGTAACTTATCAACTGGGGTGGTTCGCTTAACAGCTGCGGCAAGCCAGGTCATAAAACGAGGCAAAACGCGCTGAACAAATGTCTCACTTAACCACAGAAATGTTGGGCTCTCCGTTGTGGTGGAGGAGAGCAGTAATGCAGGGGCTACCCTATGAAAACACTAGCTGTTCATAACAACAACAACCACAACAACCAACAACAACCAACAGTAACAGTAACAGTAACAGTAACAGTAACAGTAACAACAACAACAACAACAACAACAACAACAACAATAATAATAATAATAATAATAATAATAATAATAATAATAATAATAATAATGTTGGAACGTACCTTGGAGGTCATGTAGTCCAACCCCCTGCTCAGGCAGGAAACCCTATCCCATTTCAGACGAATGGCTCTCTGCACATGTTCAAGCAGCAGAAGGCAGCAGAGGGACATGCGGGAAACCCTATCCCATTTCAGACGAATGGCGCTCTGCACATGCTCAAGCAGCAGAAGGCAGCAGAGGGACACGCGGCACGCAACCCGGCAGGTCGCCAGCCGATCCTTTCGGACTACACTCCCCCCCATCCCCGGGTAGGAGAGATGGGTAGTGTAGTCTGGAAGGGCAACCTGCTCCCAGGGCTCCTACCAAGCGCACGTGCTGAAGCCCGGCTCCTTCCGGCTTCCGCCCTTCCCGGCCTCCGGCGACGGAAGTCGGGCAGTGACGTCACCGCGCGCTGCGTCCCGCTCGCAGCGCTTCCCGGCCAAGATGGCGGCCTCCGTCTTGAGGTGACCGCGGACGGGCGGAGAAAAAAGGGGGGAGGGGGATCCCCGCGGTGGGCCCGTCTCGTGTGGAAGGGCTTTCCGCATCCCCGGAGTGGAGAAACACGCGTGTTCGGGGCTGGGAAAGCGGATCCCGACGCGCTGGGAGGCTGCGGGGTGACCTCGAGAGCGCCCCGGCTGCGGGGGGGCGGATTCCCTCGTACGCAAAGACACGTGTTTCGCCCTCCTGCCTGCCCGGTCCGTCCTTTCCCCTCCCTACTGGGGTGGGAAGGCGTCGGACTGCACAACCCATCATCCCCGGCTGGCTCCCGAAGCGGGCTGGACCACACCTCCCATGCAAGCCGGGGATGATGGGCACCGTAACCCGTCCCTTCCAGAGCTGTGCCTCGCAAAAGGGAGCGAGTCAGACCCGGTATCTAAAAAAAAAACAAAAAGAGTGTACACGTGTCTATGCGCACGTCTGAATGCCCCGCAGGCACAGCGCCCTCTATTGGTGATGGCTAGTATTGACAGCATCTCTGAGCAAGAGTGGCTGGATTGGTTTGAAATCTGGGTCTGAAGCAGGGACTAGATGACCTCCAAGGTCCCTTCCAGCTTTTTTATTATTATTATTATTATTATTATTATTATTATTATTATTATTACTATTATAATCAAAGCCAGCTAAGGAAAGTGTCGGAATAGCATTGTGGAGACCTGGGTTCGAGTCCTCCCTCAGCCACAGAAGCTGCCTTGCTGCCCCTCAGCTGTTAGGAACAACCTTGTTCTCAAAATATCATCTGGGCCTTCAAGAAAAACCCTGACCCTAACCCTGTGAGGTAGGCTGATACCCAGAGCAGGGGACTTCAGATGTGGCCCTTCGATGACTTGTGGACTTCAACTCCCAGAATTCCTCAGCCAGACATGCCTGCCTGTGGAATTCTGGGAGTTGAAGTCCGCAAGTCCTAAAAGGGCCACGTTGGAAGACCCCTGCCCTAAAAGAGAACAAACTCCTGCCTATAAATCCTGTAATTTTGGCTCTTTCAGGTTAGCAAGCCGGCGCTGCCTCTGCCTACGCCTCAGCCCGGGGTCCTCCATGCCACAGTAAGTTTCTGATGCTATTGAAGAAGAAAAAAAGTTAACGGTTACCACTTTCTTAAGAAGGATTTTAAAAAAAGAAAGGCTGAGGAATTCTGGGAGTTGAAGTTCACGAGTCATCAAAGGGCCAAGTTTGAAGACCCCTGCGCTAAAGGGAGGGAGGGAGGGAGGATTTTGAACGGTTGCTAAACAAATGGTCGTAAGACAAGGACTACCTGTATGCATTATTGGGTGTTTGGGGCCTGCCTCCTAACACATTCTCTGTGGTTTGGTTCCAGTGTGGTCCCCATGGGGACGACGGCGAAGGAAGAAATGGCTAAGTTTTGGGAGAAGAACACCAAATCTCAGCGGCCCTTGTCCCCGCATATCAGCATTTACGAGTAAGACGCATCTTTTAATTGCGCATTTTATAACTGAATTGCATTGCATTTCCCACAGGTACCTCTGCAAGGTGGGCTGGATTGATAAGACAATACATGAGAAATTTTGAGGGGTCCTTGGTGCTCTCTGAGTTCGGTTGTTTCGTACAGACGTTTCATGACCCAACTAGGTAACATCATCAGCAAGCAAGCTACTTGTATATAAGCAGAGAGCAAACCCCACTCCCTTCTAGCACCGAGCTGGGTCATGAAACGTCTGCAAAGAGCCTTTGAGCCAAACTCAAAGACCCCCACATTCCTCCTCCTGCTTTTCCTCTCTCCCTTCTCTTTCTCCTCCCCTCCACAAACTCCATTCCCGTCTAGCACTGATGATGTTACCTAGCTGGGTCATGAAATGTCTGCAAGAAACCAGCAAGCTCAGAGAACACCCAGGAACCCATAGTCCTCCCTCCCTCCCTCAATTCCACGTCCTTTTAGAACTGATGATGTTACCTAGCTGGATAATGAAATATCTGCAAGAAAACCACCAAGCTCAGAGAGCACCCAGGACCCCATAGTTCCTTCCTTCCTTCCTTCCTTCCTTCCTTCCTTCCTTCCTTCCTTCCTTCC